ACAGAGGCCAGAAGAGGGGGCCAAATTCTCTAGCAGCTGGTGTTACAACCAGTTGTGAGCCACCAGATATTGGTGCCAGAAATCAGTATGTACTCTTAAAGACTGAGCCATCTTCCCAGCCCCTTCATCTAATTTTTTGAGACAGGATCCTGTCGCTGAACCTAGGCTTCCCCGCCCCCACCAGACTAGCTTCCCTCTCCCATTCACCCACCCCCCACCCCTATAAACAAACTTCCCCCTCCCACCCTCCCTCCAGACTAGCTTCCACCTCCTCCCCAGTGTTGGACCTACAGGTGTGAGCTGCCACAATTGACTTTTTTGTTTGTTTGTTTGTTTTTCAAAAATAGGGTTTCACTGTGTATCCCTGGCTGTCCTGGAACTCACTCTAAACCAGACTGTTCTCAAACTCACAGAGATCTGTCTGCTTCTACCTCTCCAGTGATGGGATTAAAGGCATGCGCCACCATGCCAGGCTCACACATGGCTTCTTATGTGGGTACTGAGGGTCCAAATACGGGTCCTGAGAGCACTCTACCTGGTGTGATTTATTTATTATATGAAACACTCTGACATTTTCTCTTATATTTATTTAGTTTTGTTTATTTGTTTTCTTTTTTGCCTGTCTTTGAGACAGGGTCTCACTATGTAGCTCTAGCTAGCCTAGAACTTGCTATGCAGACCAGGTTGATTTGAACTCACAGTGATTCTCTTGCCTCTGCACCCCCCGCCAGCTCTGGGATTACAGGTGTACACCACTGACACTCAACTTAGTTAGTTATTTTTAAGACAGGGGTTCATGTAGGCCAGGCTAGACTTGGACTTGAGATATGCAGCCAAGGGCGTTAAACTTCTGATCCTCCTGCCTTCACCTTCGAAGTGCTGACTCCAGGTATGCTCCACTATAACTGGTTTTATAGGGTACTGGGGTTCAGATGGGAACATCTAGCCATACTGGACAGGCACCCAGCTCATTTCACATTCAGCCTAAGATTTTCTTTTCTTATTGTTATTCCTTTGCTCTGGTCCCTTTAAGGGCTAGCCACGCCCACTCCCAGCCACTTCTGACCTCCCTTAACTCTTTCTCTTCTGTCCCCGTCTCTTGGCGTGTGCACACGTGTCTCTGTCTCTCTCTCTATGTCTGTCTCCATGTCTCTCTGTCTCCCTCTTCTTTAAGTAATAAATATTTAGCTTTATGTTTAGCCTTCTGTCTATTTATTATGTCCTGTACACCTTTTATCCACCAAATCCACCCGCCAGCTCTGCCACTCGCCGTGTGGAACCTGCACCCGTTCTGGCGGCAGCCTCTGCCTGGACTAGCCTGCCTCGGTCACCTGCCAACATATTATTTTTTTAAGAACAAAATTGGTGCCGCAGACTCGAGAGATTCACTCGGCCAGGGTCCCAGCCTCAGGTTTTGTCCGGGACTCTGAGCTCCAATTTCTGGGATTGAATCGGGACCGAGGGCTTTCTCAACACCGACCCACATGTTCCATCTGCCTGGAGTCATTCCTACAAACAACACCAGCTTCTAATCGTGAGTTTCCCCACTCCAGCCAGCTTAACTGAGTCTTTTAACTCAGGATTGACCGGTTTTCCCGCTGTTTTTAGGCTGGGGGGGGACTTCTCTGCCCCTTCGCTGGCGTTCATTACGGCTTGCATCCTCTGTTAAGCCCGTGCCTGGGACAGCTTGGCTAATGGCCAGCTCCCAGCATTCCTGCACCTGGGGGCCCGGAACCCCCAGTTCTCTTCCTCTCTTATTTCATTCTTTTTCTTCCTTCTCATCTTTCTCATGGACGGAATGGCTGATCTGGTTCGGCCTATAGCACCCCACACGTGGATTAGGGACGCCCACCCACGTGTCCTGGATGGTCGATCCATCTGTATCTCACCTAAACGGGGAGCTGTTCACGCTGTAGGCTCGAGATGCCACGGTTTTTGTGGTTTTTTTCACGGTCTTGACCTGGGAAAGCAAGTCATTCCAGCCTAAATATGCCTTACTTAAAACCCTCCACACTTATCCATCTTTAAATTGTCTGTTTGCGCGGGTTTTCACGATTCAAGATTCTGGATAGTAATGGCCCATGGCAGGCAGCCCCCGACTTTTAAAATTCCTGCCAGATTTTCCATTCCAGCCGTGACATGGTGCAGTTTTTGGTTCCAGCCTTTTGCCCCCCTCTGTGGCTTATGGTTCGGCATGGCGGCTCAGCAACAGGGCAGCTCACGCCTTTAGGTCACTCTTTATTAAGCTTAAAATCTTTACAGCTCAAAAATTGTAACTTTTCCCCCATAACACGTGGCCGCCGCCATGTTCATTGGGGTCAGGTGACTTTATCGCTAGATTCACTGAGAGCCAGGTCATGTGACCAAACTCTTCCATTCTTATGTATGTCCTGCCTTCCCTTCCCCCCCTCGGTGTTCACTGAAATCCTCTTGTTAACTCTCATTACAGGTGTTTTGCATAGTGACACACTTCTGATAGGACTCATCAGAGACATGCACTTTGCCTAATTCCTGTTCAATCTTTCTATGTATAATAATCATTCATTATATCTCATTTCAGACTACAAAATCATAAGTCTCATATTTTAAACTACTATGTACTTTTTTAAAAAAAATATTTATTTATTTATTATGTATACAATATTCTGTTTTACATGTATGCCTGCAGGCCAGAAGAGGGCACCAGACCTCATTACAGATGGTTGTGAGCCACCATGTGGTTGCTGGGAATTGAACTCAGGACCTTTGGAAGAGCAGGCAATGCTCTTAACCTCTGAGCCATCTCTCCAGCCCACTACTATGTACTTTTAACTCTTATATTTAATATTAAGCTGTTCTCTACCATTGTCAGTTCTGCCACTAATCTTAATGTTACAAACAGGTTTTTTTTTTCTTTCTTTCTGTCTTTTTACGACTGTGAATCTTACCTGTAAAGAGTTAGTACAGTCAAGTTCAGACCCAACCTTCCAGACAGATTCTATACTGCAGCTATACTTTATAAACAGCCTCAACTGCTCAGAGATCTGGGGAATGTGATATTTAAGTATTTAATTATTTAAAATAACTTTTCATAACAAAAAGAGACAGGTTGGCTCCTAGCAAGCACTCTGTTTCCTCCAAGAAGACAGAAGACAAACAGTCACAGAACAACGTCCATCTGCAGTTTGCTTCAACTGCCAAACGCTGACCATTGGGCAAAAACTGCCTTTCACCTAAACTGAAGACCTCCAGACGTGGACAGAATCACTGGAATCGACAGCCTAGCTGCCCAGGTAAGGTAGGCCTGTCTTCCTACAGATTTCTTAGCCCACAGGGTCTTCTGAAGCCTGACAGACTCTGCGCTAAGCAGCAAAGGTCAAATACAACCTTCAGCAACCATGGAGGACCCAAAAGAGTAGCTCTGGGTGCCAACCAAGTAAGTTCTCTGCCATTTTTTAATCAATAACTCAATTAAAATCTTATCCTTCTCAAAGATCTCTGACAGTTTGATAGCTGAGAGGTTTTGCCAGACTGCCTCACCAAATAAAAATACCTTTCACTGTACAAAAATATGTCACAGCCATTATACAATGTATATGTCTAAAACTTCTATTTTTCTTATGAGTTCCAGGGAGCAAAATTTAAAAAACCCACCATAAACAGGTCAGATACATACCTCTCAATTCCCTGGTACTAAAAAATTTTTCTTAATTTAACTTTGTCCTCTGTTCTGCCAACACCCTAACCAGGTACAAGGGACACCAGACATTTCCATGCCACAGACACCTGTCAGGAGCAGAGGCCAACTATGCCAGGATGTGACCAGCACCCAGCCTTCTCTTGGATCCTCCCCCCAAAGACGATGCCCACAAATCAGCCGGAAGCAGTCTTGAGAATTCTCCGCCCCAATTCCTTCAAACTGTAATGTCTAAGCTTCTACTTTTTAGTATAAAAAGGTTCCGGGAATGTTATTCCTTTGCTCTGGTCCCTTTAAGGGCTAGCCACGCCCACTCCCAGCCACTTCTGACCTCCCTCGTCGCCATCTTAACTCTTTCTCTTCTGTCCCCCATCTCTTGGCGTGTGCACACGTGTCTCTGTCTCTCTCTATGTCTGTCTCCATGTCTCTCTGTCTCCCTCTTCTTTAAGTAATAAATATTTAGCTTTATGTTTAGCCTTCTGTCTATTTATTATGTCCTGTACACCTTTTATCCGCCAACTCCACCCGCCAGCTCTGCCACTCGCCGCGTGGAACCTGCACCCGTTCTGGCGGCAGCCTCTGCCTGGACTAGCCTGCCTCGGTCACCCGCCAACATATTATTTTTTAAGAACAAAACTTATGACTTCATTTCTTATTATTGTCATGTGGCTCAGGGCCTGCTGGAATGATTTCGCAAACCCCTGTCTGGGACCTGGTCTCTGGACCGTGGTGTGACCCTGACCACAACCCTGGAGAACCCTCTTAACAGCCCCCACAACACTGTGAGCCTGAAAGGGCCAGCCTGGCTGCTTTTGACAGAGAGCTCCTCATGAGGTAGAATCCAAGGATCCCAGGAAATGTCTGCCAGAGCCCACCCCTCCTCTACTCTGTGGCTCAGAGCCTATCCGAGAGCCCCACAGCCTCCCAGGCGGGCATGGCCTAAGCAATGTCCTGAGGCCCCTCATGTGGGCTGGTAGGAGACAAAGCTTGGGGGTGCAGCATACCTATGCATGAGGTATCCTGAGGGGCAGAGGAACTGGCAGTGTGAAGATAAAAGACTGACTGCCGACAGGGTTCCTCACTTCATCCTTATTTGTGCTCTGACTGATACCCAGGTTTGCTGGTCCTAACTCAAGTTCTGAAAGTAGGTTGGACCAGGGTCCTGCTTCACTCCCAAGGACCCTGGCCACATCCTCCTTCCCTGCACACACCAGGCCTTCCCTGGTCGAGCGTGTGGCACCCTTGCCTACACCCAAGGACTCCGAGCCCAGGCCAGACTCTTCCTCCTACATCTGTGTTACAAACTCACAGAAGACAGAGACCGTGGAAGAAAAAACCACTCGGATTTATCTGAACAGATTAGATGGGGGCAGGGCAGGGCATGCCTGGGGAGCCAGGCACCCTCAGGGTGGGGAGGCCACCAGTCTAAGGCCTGGCTCCCTCCAGTGGCCTCTTCCTTTGAGAATCATTTTGTGTTGGCCACTCTGTAGGCTCTTGGGGCAGAGGGAGGCGGCAGGGGGTGGTGAGCTGCTGTGGCATGGAGGCTCCAGCTGGGCTGCCCATCGGGGTGTCAGTCCCCACTCACCTGTGGCGATTCAGGCACATTCGGGACAACTGTCTACACTTCCCACCTGGAAGAAAAGGGACCAGTTCTCCCATGAGCTGGACACTGCATTGATTATCGCATGCACTCTGGGAAGCACCTGAGGCCAGTCTTGGCCCTCAGGAAGCTCCCAGTCCACTTCATAAACATGAGAAGGGGGCCAGTGAGCTGGCTCAGCCAGTAAAGGTGCTTGCTGCTGAGCCAGCCGGCCTGAATTCTATTCCTGGAACCTGTGTGGTAAGAAGAGAAAACCAGAGGCCAAGGAGATGGCTCAGCACTTAAGAGCACAGGCTGCGCTTCTGGAGGTCCTGTTTTCAATTCCTAGCACCCACGTGGAGGCTCACAACCATCAATACCTGTAGTCCCCTGGGACCCGATGCCCACTTCTGGTGTGCAGACATACAGACAGACAAAATGCCCATATACATAAAAATAAATCTTTGTAGTTTTTTGTTTGTTCTGTTTTTAGATAGGTTTTCCTCTGTAGCCCTGGCTGTCCTGGAATTCGCTCTGTAGACCAGGCTGGCCTCAAACTCAGAGATCCACCTGCCTCTGCCTCCTGAGTGCTGGGATTAAAGGAGTGTGCCACCACCTGGTTAATCTTCATTTTAAGAGAGAGAAAAAGAGAGAAAACCAACTTGTGAAAGTTGCCCTCTAATCTCTATATGTGTATTACATGCACACACACACACACTGAAGTAAATAAATGCAGGTGGGGGTGGAAGGTTTGGGTAAAGGCCCTGGGATAGAAGGGCAGAGATGAGTTCAAAGAACAGGAGAGAGCCTGGGACCTGGATCAGAGTCAGCTGGGCATGGGACAGCAATTTTAAGAAGCCCCAGGCACATGGGAATACGGCAGCCCACCTGCCTCTCTGGCCTCCTGTCCTGCCCTCCCTGCCTGTGTCATCGTGGCCTCATCTCACTATTACCTCAGTGCCCAGCTCTGTTCTGCCCCTGGACCTCTGCAGACGCTGCTCCTTCCACCCAGGGAGGCTTTGTCACCTGGTCCTCAGGACAACCTGATTTCACCCCCGCCTCTTGCTTCACTGACAAGGGCTCCTCTGGTCAGCTCCACCAAGCTCTGAAGCCCCCAGAGCAAGCCAGCCTTGTCAAGGCCTTGCACCAAGTGGTTTGGGATGTCCCTCCAAATGCTCATCTTAGAGCTGGGTCCTCAGTACTCGGTCTGGTAGAAGTCATAGGTCTGTTCTCTGTCAGTTAATCCTCAGGAGAAGCAGTTGTGGTCTCCTCCCTGTTCTCTCACTTCCTATCTTGTCATGTGACCTCTTCTGCTACCCACCCTCCCCCACCAGAGGTGGACACGGAGTCCTCCATCACTCTCCACTTTATTTTCTTTGAAGGCAGAGTGTTTTGTTGAACCTGGCACACACTGATTCAGCTAGGCTGCTTGGCTCTCGCTCTTCAGCATGGGGTGGGGGTGTCATGGACACATGCTGCCCCCCTGGGGGCCTGGGCATCTGAATTCAGGTCCTCACAAGCACTTTACCCACTGATAGCTCCCAGGCCCCGTGGGTCCCTTCTTAAGTTATAAACTAGAATAAGCACTACCGCACATCGCTCCCCGTATTTGGTCACAGCCATGAGAAAAGCACCCAGCAATGAACAAAGTCGGGGGAGGGGACGGGGTGAGGGGCGGGGTTGGAGGAGGGGCAGGGATGCAGCTTAGGTGGAATAATGCTTGCCCAGCACACTCAAGTAATGGGTTTGATTCCCAGTAGGGCATTAACCAAGTGTGCCTATAAGCCTATAATCTAAGCACTTGGGAGGTGGAGGCAGGAGGATCAGAAGTTCAACGCTAGTCACTTTGTTTTTTTGGGGGAGAGGATCCAAGTTTGTTTCCCAGGACCCATACCCATATAGGGAGGCTTACATCTCCTGCAACTCCAGCTCCAGGGGATCCAATACTCTCTTTCGACTGCCATTGGCATTGGCACTCACACACACACACACATACACACACACACACACACCTATACAAATATTTTTTTTTTCGAGACAGGGTTTCGCTATCAAGCCTGTCCTGGAACTAGCTCTTATGGACCAGGCTATCCTCGAACTCACAGGGATCCGCCTGCCTCTGCCTCCCAAGTGCTAGGATTAAAGGCGTGCACCACCACCGCCCGGTTTACACATAATTTAAAAACAAAATAAACCCCTTTAAAAAAAAATAAAATAAAAAGATGTCCAAGGCCATTTTTGCTTGGTCAAAGCTAGCCTGGGCTACAGGAGACTCTGTCTCAAACAAACAAACAAACAAATAAAAACTGCTGAGCTGCGTGGCACACACACCTATCTCAACCCTCAGGAGGCTGAGGCGGAAGGTTTGTGAGTTTGAGGCCAGCCTGGGCTGCACAGTGAGCCACTGTCTCAAAAAGAAAAAAGTGAAGTCTGTTTTCTCATCTCCCAAACGAAGCCCGGCCCTTGGCTTGCAGTGAAGCAGAATGTGGTGGACATATTAGCAGCCAGCTGAGTCTGTGTGTCTTCTCTGTGTACCCTTGCCTCTCTCATCCGGACACCATGAAATGCCCAGAAAGACCAAGATAGAAAGGGGAAGCGACCAGCGCCCTGGGAACAGCGCCCCCTGCTGACTCAGTCCAACTACATCCCGAAGGCCGGCCCCGCCGGGCCTCGCCGGCTTCCACAGGCAGGCAAGGAGCTGAGTCACAGCTGTGGGGGACCTGAGTTTGCACAGCCTCGCCCAAGGTGGTTTCAAGACCCCGATCCTCAGTCCCCAGGGCGCCCCGCCCCGAGTCCCGGTGCCCCTCCTGCCCAAGTCCCGCTCTCACTGGTGAGGATGATAATGCCGGTGATAAACAGCACCGCTGCCACCAGGAGTCCCCGCTTCCTGAGAGTGAAATCATCTGTGCAGACAGAAGTGGAGGTGTCAGGTCAGGGAGTCTTTGTCCCTCCTCCCCGTATCTCCAGTGGTATGCGTGTTGGGGTAGGGGGTACTTACCGTAGTAGAAGGGGTTGTTCTCATTCGAGTCTGGAGGAAACAGACAAATGTGAGTCAGAGCTGGGCAGAGGTTTGTGGTGTGAACTAGGGGGCTAGGACCCCTGAGACTCAGCCTCTTAGGCCTTAGAAGGAAAATGGAAACCCTCCCTGTGACGTGCCATGTGGCTCCCATGAATCTTCGCCACTCACTCTGCCTCATTCTTGGCATCCCCTGGCCTTCCTGCTCTTGAGTCCAAGCAGTCGGTCCCTCACCTTAGGTCCTTTATAGGAACAGCCTTCCTCTAGACACCCGCAAGGCCTCTCTGACACTTCCTGCACCAGGAGGCCTTCCTCGGTGCTGTGTATGAGACGCTCCCCGACTATTCTCGTATCCCCAATTTCACTCTGTTTTTCTTGATAACAGATGAAAACTTACCCGATATATAAGAACCCCAATTATATAACGCTGTCCTCTCCCACTAACATATCAGCTTCAAGGGGGAGGGGGAGGTCTCGCTATATAGCCCAGGCTGTCATGGAACTTGCTGTGTAATCCAGGCTGGCCTCAAACTTGCAGGCATCTTTCTTCCCTGCTTTCCAGGTAAAGATTACAGGGCTGTACCACCATGCCCAGTGACAGCAGAGATATCTGTCTGTCTTGTTAGTGGCTGCCTGGCACACACATGACTCTGGAATGAATACACAGGTGAAGGGGTGACCTGGGCATATGACTTCTCTATGTCTTCAGTGGGGGTTTGGTAGGCAGGAAGTGGAGATCAGGAGGGGAAGAATCAAGACTCCATTCTTGGTAATGGAGTCCTTGCTGGTCCACAAGTGATCTTAGGTGTGTAAGCCGGTCTCTAGTGGCCAGAAGAGCCACCCAGCTACACCCAGCCTAAATTTCAGTTTTCAGAATCCAGAGCTCAGAAAGCAGCCACCTAAACATGCTGAGGTGGTGACCTGGCTTGTTCAGCCATTTAGGTACATGTTGCCATCTGTCCAGTCATACATCACCACGTTCCTACCCTCTGTCAGCCTCCTCCAGGGCATGAGACCTCAGACCTCCCCATACAGAGCAGAAACTAATGGGCCCCTGTTTCTGGTCAGGACAAGGAGGTACTAACCATGTAAATCGGATAAGAAGACCCACACTTTCTCTTTGGTTGGGCTTGGAGACCCCATCTCAGGGGATGCCGTCGTACCTTCAGGTGATAGACAGAAAAAACAGTCAGTAGACAAGGCAGGAGGGGTCACAGGGGCAGAGACAGGGGTGTGAATGTAATAACGGGGCTACATCTGTGCATCTGGGGGACGGCGGCCAGGCACCTCCCACCGACATTCTGGCAGCAAGCATCTGCCCGCACCCCGAGGCAGGACCAGCTGCTCAGCCCCAAGTGTACCCCTCTCCTTGAATGCCAGTCATAACCAAGCACAGAAGTCAGGATTTTATGGACTTGGTTCCCACCGTCCTGGAGATACTTATGAAGACATACTTATTGAAGATATTGTGAGCATTCCCTCTGCTTTGGGACTAAAAATAGCAGGGCATTCTCTTTCTAATATTAATTTAATTAAAAAATTTGAAGACAGGGTCCGCCATGCTGGCCTCATGCTCTCTCTTCCACTTCTGCCTCCTGAGTTCTGATATCACGTGAGGATTAGAGGGTCATCTCCTGACTCAGTCTCGGCTCGGGGCTGGGGGGGGGGGCTCTCCTGTCTCCTGGCACCTGCTATCAGCATCAACCTGCCGGTCTAGAGGAAACTACTTCCTGATTCCGGGCTGGGTGGACTTTTCCAGCCTCAAGGTGGGGGAAACAAGGCCCCATTGACTAATCAGAATGGCCCACTTTTCAGGCTTCCATTGTGTCAAACAAGGACATGTGATCTCAACCAGGCCAATAAGAGTCAATTTCAGGCTACGAGAAAGAGTTAGGTGTCTCCTAGCTGCCCAAGTATGGGACATCTTTGCCACCAAGAAGGAAAGAGAGTGATGAGAGCAGAGACCTGAGGGAGCAATTCAGACACTGACAGTTCCTGGTCCAGCTGTGCCTGAGACTTTATCTTCAGATTTTACAGAATTGAGCCGATAACATCTTTTTTAAGAGAGCTACTTTGCAAATGAAAAGATTCTGCTGTAACAGAAAAAAGACTCAAAGGAAATAAACCCACAACTCCATTTCTCAGCGCCAACTAGCCCAGAAATAGGGAAATAGCCAATCAGCTCGTCTATTGAACAGGGTTGCTTGCTACAGAGTGGTTTCTCAAGGGTCTGAGAAGGTCTTCCACACAGAGGCATTGAACTTTAGCTCCGGACAGCTTCACACACACTCATACACACACTCACACACGGAGACACATACTCTCACATGCGCACACTCATGCATAGACACACTCAAACACACACATGTACTTACCCCCCTCTCTCACACACACATGCACACACAGACACAAACACACACATGCACTCACCCCTCTCTCACACACACTCATGCACAGACACACTCAAACACACACATGTACTTACCCCCCTCACACACACACATGCACACACAGACACACTCAAACACATGCATGCACTC